TAACACAATGTGATGAAAAAAATTAGGAGGTTAAGTATTTAGCATTCAAAATTCAGCCTTTTCATAAAATGTAAAAATATATTAGATGTACTCTTTGTTAATTAAAATGTGACTGGGACATAAGAGAAGAATAGGACTAATACAGAACGAAGAATATCTGTATATATTTTGAAATGTGGTTGTCAAATATACTAGGAGCAAACAGTTCTTTGGTTTTTTTATTTTGAAAACTCAATTTTAAAATATCAATATTTTACGATTTAATTTTTGATCTCTGCCCAAGCCATTTGTCAATGTTGGAATGCTATTCTATAACCACTACTTACGTGCTGTTACATTGTGAAACGGCTCTTTGGTGATCATTCTTTTTCACAGACTGCATCTATCTTTCTAGGTTAGGACTTTCTGTTTTCACCTCTCAAAAGGTTACATCTATAATAATTGTGTTACTCTACCTGTCAGTGGCCATTTCTCAATTATTCTAACTCAACTCTTTGTGGTTTCCAGGAGGAACATGCTTCCCATCTCATCCCATACATATATGTTTGCTTAATGAATGCCTGTGGTTTGCTTCCTCTGCCCCATAAAATTAAGAGGCCATAGATCAGAAGAGATGATAATTCAAGGGCTTTACGTGGCATGGTTTGAAGCATCTGTCAGCTCAGAGAATGGTTTAGAATCCTGTGATTTGTTCAAGGGATTTCTTTAGCCTATGCAAGTTGCAACTCATTACAATGCATGAAGGTCAATCCAAGGGGCTGTGCAGCTTTACTGACGGTACCAGGCCACCCAGATTAACTCTGTGTGGATGTGTGTGCACCTGTGTGTGTGTGTGTGTGTGTGTGTGCAAGAGCACATCCTGAGACCTTGAGCATTGTTAATTCTGATTGTGATTGAAGGTGATGACTGACATATTTTTAAAGAGGACAGTTTTCAGGTCTTGAAGAGACCTGTTGGGATAAACACATTCAAGATAATACCAGGGGGCAGGACAAAAGCAACATCACTGTGAAAATGCCTTTCACCTGAAGCATTCTGATGGAACTATGTGTGAACAATGTATACAAACTTCTTAATGTGGCATATAAAGATAGCAATAACCCTTAATGGTAACTGCAAAATGAAGCATTATGTTATCCAGCAGAAAGGGAAATGCAAATTGATTCTCTTTTTGTTTAGATGTAAGTGCTTATCAAGGTTAGTACGTATTCAAGGTCTGTGACACCAGAATAATTTATTTTATTATAATATACATACAAGGAGAGTGCTCAGGGCTTTCTGAGTAACTCAGATGGCCTGATGAAATTCTACAGTCCAGGCTTTAACAATCTCATCTCAATGTATCTCATACTCTATCTGGTGCAGGGGCGGGGGCTAGACTTGGAGATGAAAGCCTTTCAAAAATGAGAAGATAAAATAATTGTTACCATGGAGGATTCCTGGTAATATTTCATTCCTTGATAAGATTATAGAATTGAAACTTGCATGTTGGCTGGCATTGTTTCACAGCTGCTTGCTAAGCAAAGCTTTTCCAGGGGTTGTATCATAATAAACATGTGCACATGGGCAAGATGTATACTGTTGACTTTCTCCAAGCATAAAAACTCATTGAGCACCAGAAATCAGGGAAATGCTAATCTATTTGAATGGAATATAAACTATGCCTGGGTTCACCATTGGAATTCTGTCTCCATTAGTTCTAAAGTCTACATGGTCCCTTAATTTGATCTGTCAGTACCATAACGTAGCACCTTAGTTTCCACAGAGGCACGGGTGCTGTCACATAGTGACATCTATTGCTGGCTAAAGCAATGTTTGGACATCTGGGAATATACCTCTACCCAGATGGTGGTTTAGGAAGAAGGAAAGAAGGAGAGCAAGCAGAAGGGATTGCAGTGCTGGGCAAATGTTTCATCTGAAATTCTGCGAGCTGCTGAAGGTCTTCACAAAATACAACCACTCTCTAATGATAAGTCTAATTATGGAGGTATTGACAATGGTAAATACAACTGTCCAGAATTTTCTTTAAGCTGCTAGGGAGACGTGTAAGGCATTTGGCTATTATTTAGTACATAAATGAAACAGACAAAAGCCAGCTCTATAAAATATTTAAACACAGAAATGGACACATCTGTCTAATTTTTAATATTTTGGTGTTAGGGTCTTCCTTCTCATAGGTTAATGGGTGATATAATCTTCATAAAAATTTGGAGAAATTTTTCTCTTTGTAATACTGGGGATTGAACCTAGGGCCTTAACACTGGACTACATCCATAGCCAATTTTATTTTTTGAGATAAACTATTGCTAAACTGCCCCACGCTGTACTCAAATTTGAGATCTTCCTACCTCAGCATCCCAGAGTGCTAGGATTATAGGCATGTGCCAACATGGCCAGCATTAAATTGGGTTTTTTATTTAGTGAGTTGTTGAGTGATGGACATAAAACTAGTTAGTTGCAATGCCAGGTACTGTCCAGGTACAATACTAAAATATGCAAGATTAATCACTTTACTCAAGAAGAACAAAATCAAATTTTTGAATTGGCATTTGTTAGCCTGTCATACTATTACTTTGAAAATAAAAGGAACAGGTTTTCTTTACCGTCCCTTGGGAATGCATCATTGCCTGTAGAGGGGAAATCATCAAGAAGATTTATACTAAGTAAGAATCATAAAATATAAAAAATAAAATAAACTGTACTAGAGATTATTTTTATTTCAAACCAGAAGAAAATAACTTGCGCTCATTTAAGCAAAAAAGGCTATTCATTGGAAGGGTACTGAACCTCAGGGATGGCCTGAGTTGAGAGGCCACAGGAGTGTGGGAACATGTCAGCTCTGAGATCTCAAAGAAGACTTGATTCTAGATCTTCCCGCTAGTGACACACCATAGTTGATATAGCGCCCAGAATTTCTCTGGTTAAGTGCAGAAGTTCATATATATAAGAGAGTCTGACTGGCCCAACTCGGGTAAGGACTCTAATAATGTTCCACTGTGGCCAGGGGAGCAGACTATCAAATTTACAAGTGGACACTGAACTGTTTTCTCTGCGGAGGGAGAAAGTTTGCAAGCCAGTAATAGTGTGAGTTGCATAGACACCCTAAAATGTGTCGGTTACACTGTGGGAATAAGCAAAGCTTTGTATGTTATGCAAATGCCGATCTCATTGAAGAGAAGCAACTGCTGGCAGAATGTAAATTTCAGAATGCTATCATATGACATTAATAAAAATTAAGGACTTGGAGCAATGGGGAGGAGTTTGAACCATGAGGGTTTAATATGTTTTTCTCCCCTCACTTTGTGGTTTGGGTTCCTGATGACTCTATATGTGACACCAATGAGTGATTGAGAGTCTCGAACCTAGTGATACCATAGGTTGAGAAGAGGGTGCAATCTTGACTCTCACATCAACCCCAAATACCCTAGAATGGCACATTAGGCCATTCAAAGTCTGGGTTTCTTCCTTTTGCAGCTGGGCTATCTTCATATTGTCCCATTATCTGAACACGTAGCATAGACACATGTCCAATCGTAGAGAGATCTTCTTGTAGTTCCATAAACATGGGGGACATTTTTACTCTGCTTCCTCTTTGCTGATGTCATTTTCCTTAACCAAGAATGCAATTATTTCCTTCTACCTGAAGAACTCTTACTGACTCTTTAGAGGACTTAACAATATTCAAATATCACTTCCTCCAGGTAGGTCTCTCTGTCCTGAGCATCTACCAAGTGCTTATGCTTCAGGGGCTTTCTACTCCTCAGAATATTTGCTCCACAAAAGTGAGAAAACGTTTCTTCTTCACCTTTGCATCCTCTCCAATATCTTGCCTGGCCCTGTCACAAGAAACACTTTGTGAAAGAGCGAATGAAGGAGTGTGAAGATAAATATGAGTCTGAGACCTGCACAACACCCTTCCTGCCATTTCCTGGAGCCTTGCGGCTGCCATCTAAGATCTTCCTCCTCCAGCCCATAGGTGGCAATGAGAAGTCTCTCTCCAATGCTTTTCTTTCCTTCAGGCCCAATTGTAATGACAGATAATTCAGAAGCATGCTGTGCTTGAAACGAAACCAACAGCGCAACAGTGCTATGTACACTTCAGTCCCTATCAGTCTTGACAGGATTTTTATATGGGGATTTTATGAAGGAGAGCTTATCCCCTCACACCTTCCCTGGATCGTCTATTCCCCGGGGGAGGGAGATGTTTGTTTACAATTGCAAAGACAAGGAAAAAAAAAAGAAAGATAAGGAAAACTTCAGCATGATGTTGTTCTTCAATACAGGCAGCCTCTAGTTGTTCCCGAGACTGCCTACACTAACCCACATGCAATTTGAATCTATGATGCCTATACAGTTTATATATCGTATACATTTACAGACTGTCCAGCAGAAATTATACCAGTATATACACGCATCCAGAAAGCTTTTCTGGACCTAAAGTGATATGTCACATATATACCATAAGAAAGAAAGAAAAAGAAAAGAAAGGTGATCATTGTTGTGGCCACTTTATAGATAGTACTCATTTATATATCTAAAGGACACAGAATGTCAATGTCCTGTGGTACAGGTCTTTCTAAGCTTTTTCCTCCTTTCACCTCTTGCACTGTGTCCATCCTATAAAATCTGGTTATCAAAATCAAGGCCAGTGTGTTCATGCGCCTGTTTGGGATTGGAGAGAAATGTGCATGGATTCTGAACTTCTTACAGAATACAGGAGGAAGGGCCATCTGTTAAAATTAACTGGATATGTAAATCCCTTTTGACTCATCTTCTCTGACAACAGGGAGGAAGAGTAACTGGTCGACCACAGCGTTCTTACTATTCACGGTAAGAAATATACTTTCTCTCAGAGAAATCCATCAGCTGATGTTAACAAGGAGAAAGAGAAGGAATAGCTTGGCAGGAAGTTCTGACTCTCACCCTAACTCAATTCAAGAGCTCATCAAGGAAGGAGTTTGACTGTAACTTATACCTTTCTTCCTCTGATGAGAGTGACAACCAGGGTGACTGGAATCAGAGGGCAGCCTGTTCTCCTTTGGCAAACAAACACCCACTCTGGTAAGTGCCTTTAAATGTGCATCGAGTCTTTGTCTGGGAAAAGGACGCACAGTTGGCAAGTACAGAGCTGTAAGGGGATAGCTTTGACATGCTGATAAAGCTTCTCAGTTTACTTTGGACTTGACTTTATCATTTACTGAAGGATATTATTAGTGTGGAGATGATAGCCATTCTCTGACTTCTCAAACGAAAGCCAGGGAAATGTATATGAACAAAAGGTCTGTGATGGAGAATCCTACCCTGTTTGTTCAGTGACTTTGGGATCTTAATCATACAACTTAACAGAGATAAGGCCTGGAGGAGAAGAAAGGAGGCCACCCAGTTCGGGAGGCCCCCAGGAAGACCAGTGAAAGTCAATCGTGTTAAAAATGGACGTTTCTCCAATACTGAGCATGTGTGTACTTTTGCCTTATTGCAAATTTGATATTATAAAAATAGACTTGCTCTTTGTAGGCAGATGGCAGGCAGCACTTCTGAGGTTAAATCTAGCCTTATGACAATGGCTATCGATACCCAGGAACCACTTGGACTGGGTGCCAGATACTCAGCTCTTGGTGAATCTTTTTCATCAGGAGAGAGCCTGTGCATCCTCTGCAGTGTACACACACACACATTCCTCAGCAGCAACATTGCTCTAGCTGCTTACATTTCCTTGACTAAGTGTTTTTGGTAGAATCTCTTTTTAGGTGTGTTTCTGCATTTATTATTCATCTGCCTGACTCTTGTCTGGAAAAAAATAAACAACAGTAATTAAGAACATATAAATAAAAACCCAGGCACCAATCATGAATTATCTGGTTGCTTTGCAGCATGATTTTATTACTCATTTTATGATAGTTTCATTGATCAACTGATTGATTGATTCATTGATGTCTCTATTCATTCAACAAAGCCCAGAATGATAGATTGGAGATACTAGGATCTGGACTATAAAGATGCTTTTTGGACTTGTCTAAACATTACTTTTTAAAGACAGGGCATCTTGACAAACCCATTTCTGTGTTCTTAGCTGTAGATTCAATAACTTAGATAGAAGATAATAACAGTAAGTGTACTTAAAATTTCATATGTAAATTGTAGAACAGCAGGAAATATATTTTTAATTTTCAGTAGCTGGAACTACAAGTGAAATATTATATAATTTAAGTGAATGAGCATACTTTAATACCATGCCATGTTCAGAACTGTGTGCATTTTGTAGATAAAAAAGGCTAATCTTAAAGAGATTCTGTACTTGAGAAGGTTAAAGTCTAGGAGAGGAAAATAATTTGGTCTTAGAGAAGATAAAAATTTAGTCATAGAGTTTTCCTAAAATTTTCTGTGTTACCTGCCAGATAAGTCCATATAGTGCTTCTCCAAGATCCTCAGCCTTGATGCTACAAGAAATTGTGACTGAAAAATCCTGGGTAATTGAAGATATAGCATGCAGCCCCTCTGAACATAATATTTTAAAAAATTTAACAAAAAATAGTATTATGCTTGCTAAATGGTTTCCTAATTTTATGGCAGTTAAGAAATTCCATGCCCACTAACTCCAAGCTCCTCTTCACTGTATTTTTCATGAAATAAAATGGAATAATAATTGGAAAATAATTATTTCATTAGGTGAAAATACTCCATTTTTAAGCAAAATATCCAAATATAGCTTTGCCCCCCAAATTTAAGTCTTAGCTATTGTACAGTTGTTATGTGATTTAAAAAAGTAATTTAACCTTTTGCATTATAGCTTCTTTATGTGAGGGATGGATTAATAGTGAGTCATTATAACGATGAAACATAAAAGTTGAACAACACTTTTGATTGGATAAAGACTGGGGCTTCTGTGACAAAGACCTTCAAATACAAAGGCTTGAAATACAAGTTTCTTTCTCCTTCATGTGCCCTGGTAGTGGCTCATGGCTACTCATCAGGGAGGACTCCGCAAAGCTTCACCTTAGCTTACGATGTGCGCTTCCACTATGTATACTATGAACACAGATAGCAGACACCAATTAGGGAATATTACTTGGTGTCCAGGAGAGCTTGTCAAGAATATGAGGGACCTCTCTTTGCCCTGCGGCCGCACGGACCCTTGAGGAGCAGTCACCTGCAGTCTTGGAACAGCATTCCATGGCCTTACATGACTCCCAGGCCCACCTCCCATCTCATCCACCCTCAGAGCAACACCTGCAGCCTCCTCGTGGTAGCAATCACAATTTGAAGCATTTTACGTTCCTGTCTTTTTTTTCTGCTAGTATGTACGCTATGCAAAATGGAGAGGAGGCGATCACAGTACTTTGAAATTCAGGCTCAAAGTCGTCAGAACATTAGGCTGTGTGTGTTGTTCCTGCTCGTGCAGGCAAGTGTTGTTGTGGTGGGGTGTGTGTGTGTGTGTGTCTGTGTGTGTGTGTGTGTGTGCGTGTGTGAGAGAGAGAGAGAGAGAGAGAGAGAGAGAGAGAGAGAGAGAGAGAGAGAGAGAGAGAGGGAGAGAAACAGTCATACAAGCAGGCAGAAAAAAAGCAGCTATATAGAACCCCATTAGTCAGGCCTCAGGGCTCAGAGCCTGCTGGGGGATTCTCAAAGGCTGTCTTTAGCCGGATGGGGTTTTCTGAACCAGGATCGCTGCTGATCTCCGAAAGCAGCCATCCATCAGCTCAGGGCCTTGTGGGTGGCGGTAGTAGGTTCCCGTTTCTCCCAGACCCGTGGGACTTCCCTGATCCGAGGAGGTGTTACAGATGGTCCTGCAGCTAAGTGTCAGATGGAGGACCAGCATGTGTGCTTGTCACCTCCCCTCCTCCAGAAGCCACTTCCCTGAGTCCCTCCATGCTGCCAGCAGAGGCTCAGGTGCCTGGCTCTTCGCCTGCTCCTGGAGTTCTCTTTGACGTTGTCGTGTGTGCACCCTGCCCTATGCAGGACGAGAAATCACAGGCACCAGAGGCCCACAGAGGAGCCGCCGAATAGGAATCCCAGCCCAGACTCTCATGTACATTTCCGCTCTCCTATTCTGCCTTTGCAGCTGGGAGAATGTCAAATGTCTGTCTGTTATTCCCGAGGTGAATGTTGGACCCAAAGGCAGTACAACACTAGGAGTCACTGGCGTCCCCAGCACAATGAAGAAAGATGAACGGGTCTCAGAGAATGTGGCTTTACTGACCCCAAAGAGAGGATGTTCAGGTAAACTACAATAATAGAACCGGGGACAAGGACATGTCTAAATTCTGGACCATTTCTAACTTTTAAAGGGATTGCCACTTTAAGAAAAAGAATTGCAGAACAAATTTAAATACTTTGTGTGGCATATTTAACATTTTTACACTTAACACACTCTTTTAGTATACACCAGTGATGGCTAACCTTTTACAGACCAGGGCCAAAACTGTAACCACACGCCCACTTCTGTATCAGAAAGTTCCGATGCTGCAAGTAACACTGAACACTGAGGGTTTAGTTTAGGAAAACCAACCCATACATTAATATCTCTTGTCTTTTGAGAAAAACAACTGTGTCATAGATTCGCCACCATTGCTATACACAAACTCACTTGTGCTTCATGAAAGTTATTATAGAGCTCTTAAGGTATATTTATGCATAGAGAATTAAGTTATATGATTCTACAAAAGAGTATGTATAAGTTGATCATTTGTATATAGGGGTAGCCCTGGATTACACCTATGTCCCAATATGATTATCGATAGCATTCAAAACATGTCCCAGTTTAGAAGATACATTGGTTGGCCAAAATAAGAGTCCGACACATTTAAACCTGCATGCTGAATACCTCATTTGTGTACCCTCCAAGTGGCTCTGTGACAATATATAAAATGTATTTAGCGAAACATCAGAAGTCTTCAATGGCAGTACGATGGGAAGGAGTTTGAGGAATGAGTATGGGTTCGTCTGCACAAAGGTCACATCAGGATTTGAGGTGGCAAATGGGTGAGAGGTGCTGCTCAATTTATTTTCAGGGATGCTTGACGGGACCCTCCTAACTCTTAAATTTGCTTTGGGACACTAGTCTGAGGGAGGCAATCTCTATAATGTTCTCCCTGCCTTACCTTTGATGAAAAATTATCTGAGAGATGCCAGATTTCTAAGCTCAACACAACAGTCAGAGGCAGAGCAGGATCCAAGCAAAGATCGATTACATTTGAATTCAGACCATTTCCCCTCCTGTAGTGTAAGAAGGTGTAGCTACTGCTCCATTGTTCAATTTATTAATGCTTTGAAAATACTGCGATCTACAGTGCCCTGTGTGACAACTGACATTACCAGTGACAGACTCAAATTGTTGGTCCCCATTGACTCAGGTTTCTACCCAGTGTCTACCATATCTTTGGATCTCTAGTTTCTTGAATCTTTCTTGTAATACTATATTCACAAGCGGGATAATAATTCCTGCTTTGGAGGTCTAGTTGTATTAAATGAGATCTATGTAATGTACCTCAGGTATATTATTCACAAGGCACCTAACAGCCTTTTTTTTTTCTTTAAAATATGTGTAAAATACTTATGTTTTTAGCACATCTTTAAGTTCTAGTTGGAATTTGTAGGACAGAAAGGAACACGAGGCTATTCCCCATTTTTGTGAGCGACATTCCCTCTAACATTAGAGTGTTCACCTAGAAACTGAATTTCCCAGCACATAATAATGTATGGGTCCTATCTCCACTCCCTGCAAACACTGGGGAACATATCTGAAATTCTCCACTACTGGAAAGAAATTTAATATTTAAAGGTAATTTGACCTGTACATGTGTGTATCATGAATATTTGATGAAATCTATAGCAAATGTATTTATATAGCATTAATCTAAGGATATTTATTCTGTATTCATTTTCTAGGATATTATTTCTTCAGCAAGTGTGGAGTTGCCCTCTGTAAAAATGCTCAACTCTAAAGCAGCACTTGGAAATAAGCGAGAGGAGAGATTTTTTTTCCTGCTACAACTGTCAACATTGTGTTAGCCCTGTAAAAAGAAGAAATAATCCTAAAAGGATAAGAATTCCCTAAATTAATATCTCATTTTATTGTCTTGGATGTAGAACATGACATTTTCAAGGGGATTGCCCTTTGATTCTTAGTTCTGTGGTATTGCATAGACGTTAAAAAGTATAGACACCAGGATCTACATCATTTTCCTCTGATTTCACTAACTTCACTCCTTTGTGGTATTTCTGTTTGTTAGTACTTTAAATTAAAAGGCATACATGATTCAGTGCAGTCATTTGTATAATGTGCAATTCAAAGGTTTTTTTAACTTAGCTATTTAATAGTTGCTGTACACACCTAGAAATTAGGTCTCTTTCTTTGATTTAACCTCAATGCTGAGATAAAAAAATAAAAAATAAAAGTAAACAAAAAGGATACTATGCTTAGATGCATTTATTATTATTTTATGCTCTCACCTGATCAGATGTTGTAGAATTTGAGAGCAAGAAAATAAGATTTTCTAATTCTTTTTGTAAGGACAGCAAAAAAATTCCAACATTGTTAAGAGGGAAAAAATACAAAAAAAAAAAAAAATCCCACAGACCAATTCTTTTCTTCGCCTGGTCAGCAGTGGTGTGAGCTGGAAAGAGTTGCCCATTCCTTTAATCAAGGGTCCTAGGAAGAGTTCACTTCTGAGCAAGGTCGCCTGGCTACCAGAAACAGTCCCACATTTTGAATTGTTCCTATTTTATAAAAAATTCTACTCTTTTAAAACATTACTTCAATAAGGTAAACAAGCCCAATATTTATAATCACTCTGTTACAATATCAGTAGCAAGATACCGTGCTTTGCTATTTAATAGAAGAAATATAAAATCTACGATGAAACTTAAACTGCTGAACTGTTCAAAATCACAGAGTTCCAAAAGAAATATTCTGAAGTTGAGAAGTCTGAGAAATGTGCTTATCCCCTGGAAGAATTGCTTATCTCCTCTTCTCTACTTGGAATTAGACCCAGGGCCTTTGCACTCCTTCCCATTTTTTTTTTTTTAAATTTTGAGGCAAGGTCTTGTTAAGTTGTCAAAGTTGGACTCCAATTTGTGAACCTCCTGCCTCAACTTCCAAGAGTGGTGGGATTACAGGAGTCCACCACCATGCCCTGCTTGCTCTGATGTTTTTCATATCTTTATTGTACAACAAAATTTAGCTTCCCAGCCTGGAAGGTGTTGTCTGCTGTTTAGGGTTATTTTGTCACATTATATTGAAACCTACTTATAAACCTGTTGCCTTTAAAAAATGCAGCTCATTTTTCTTCTGCACTGGAGACGAGTAGTGTGTTATGTGTTGCTGGTTTCTCTATCAGTCACTTTGACCCTGGCCTTTGAGATTCTATGGAGAATGGGAATTTTGAATGGAAGGACAAACTTCATTCCTTGTGTATAATTTCAGATTAATTTTCTGTTGCCAGAAATCGATCTGGCAGAGTAGTGATCCAGTGATCCAGTGCATACCACCTCACATGCCCTCAACCTGCTCTGCAAATCTCTAATGAAAAAAAATTTATGAAATATTAATCCTGTCTACATGTGATTCCATGATGATATTTTCTTTTTCAGGCTATTTCATTTCATTTCCACTACAACCCACTGTAGGAGATGCACAGATCTAACGTGTAGCAAGGTGCATTGCATGAAGTATTTGATCAACAAGTGCATTTTGGACAACACAGCTTTATAATTTAGTTTTATTTTTTCCAAAGGCCATGGGTGCTTTGTCTCTATTGTCTCTCTTTAGTGGTCTGTATAGATCAACCCAAAGTTATCTAGATTTAGCATGTAACAGAGACTTGCAGAACAGAGAATTTTGGTGTAAAGTTGTCAGTGGTGAGGGGAAATACGGATTTTGAAACATAGATAACGTTGTCAGAGAACATGTAGGACATCCAGTTAGGTTTAAATTTCAGATGGAAAGTGAATAGATTCTTATTATGAGGTGTTTCCAAATATTGCATGGATAGACTAAAACAGAGATCGTGTTTTTGCTTATCTGGAATTAAAGTTTAACTGGATATCCTGTATTTTTATTTGCTAGCTCTAGCAACTTTAAATCTAAAAAGGAAATATATCTTTTCCACTTATTTGATGATTTAGCCAAATCTCTCTTTTTAATATATAAATATGAGAATTTACTGGACAAACTTTAGGATTCCATATGGGTGTAATGATTTAAGATACAGATGTTTAGAATATACAGTACTAATGAACACTAGATGGTTAACAAATAATACTAATGAAGTAATTTTAGTTTTTACATTTATTCTGCAATGAAATCATGCAAGCAAATATTTAACTCATGAAAATTAAAGGATATATTCCTTAGAGATATTAATGTGTTGGGCTATTTTGTTCACTGTTTTGTCTAATGTGTACAATATTGAAATGTGGGGAAATGTTAGACTCCATCTACAAGCGTGATAGATCTCCCGTAAGACATAATTCCTATTAACTTCTCACTGTGGTGGAATCTGTAGCAGCAATGGACTGAGCCGCTGAGATCTCCTTTCATAAAAGAAGTGCAGTCAGCCAACAGCCTGCAGGTAGAGCACCTTCAACATCCACTGATGCTTTTGAGCTGAGGCCAGTCCTGCCTAATGCTTGAGCATAGCAGGATAACAAGGTGTTATAGTTTGTGTCTAGATGTCCCTCCAAAGCCTCATACAGTCACTGAGTGGGCTTCTAGAATTTTTGATTGATTCATGGTCCAATGCTGGAGCTATGGGTGTGAGTACACACCCACCCTAGGCGGGTAGCCTGCATGCAATCTAAGGGACAGAAAGAGGCTTGCTCACTCGCTCCTCCCTTTTTGCTCTTGCTGTTTTTGCTGTCTTCACCACCTTAAACGGTTACTCTCTGCCATGTGCCACTCTGCCTTGGAGCCAGCTGAGTAGGGACTGACACCTCCACAAACTGTAAACTAAATAAACCTTTCCTTCCTTAATTTTGGGCATCAGGTATATTGTTTCAGCAATGAGAGAAATGTAAGCAACACATAGGGCATTGTGTTTTCTGATCAATGCTGGATCCTTCTAAATGGCAGGCTTCATGCCTCAACTTCCTGTGGGCTTTGTTACATTTTGTCAGATCTGCCCTGCAGCAGGAGGCTCTATCAAATTGTGCCTTTTTCTTATGTATTCATTTACAAACATTAGCTCCCAATAAACCACATGCACCCTGAAAGTTTTGGTTCCTGCCAGGTCCTCGGAGACTTAAGATGTGACTTGCTGCTTGCCAGTATGTTCCGCAATGTCCCTGCTGCATGGAACATTCCACAGAGTTCTCCTTTCAGCAATGCAGAGACCCCTCTGACACTGGGAAAATAGTTTTCACATTTAAAAGTTCAAGTGTTCAGAACAAAGGTATTGAAAGACATCATGTTAGATTTCTGTCACTGTCACAAATCTTGTTTTGAAATTCTGCATCATTTTGATGTTTTTGTGTTGATTTGTTTTTGTCTTTGTTCTTACTTTGCTATACTTTTTCTGTTTAAAGTAAAAAAATGTCTAAGATATCAACTTGATTTTTTTTTTTTTTTTCCAGTACCGGGAATCAAACTCACGACCTCACACTTGCCAGGCAGGTGCTGTGCCACTGAGCTAAATCCCCAGCCCCTAAGATATCAACTTGAAAGAAGGAAAGATCTATTATTTTGGCTCACTGTTTCCAAGATTTCAATCTATTGGCAGTTGGTCCCCTTGCTTTGGAGCTGTGGCAGCACAGTATATCACAGTGGGAACATGTGCCCAAAGAGATCAGTTTATCTCCGGACAGCCAGGAAGCAAAGAATGGCACTGCAAAAGGCCAGGTTCCAAAAATCTCTTCAAGACCACACCCAGGGGCACTAACTTCTATTAGGTCCCATCTACTAAGGGTTTCACCACCTGTCCATAGTCCAGAAGGCTGAGGGCCAAGCCTTCGATACATGAGGCTTTGGGCAACATTCAAGATCCAAACTGCATTAGAAAGAGAATGATTTTTAACTTTAATAAGAATTTAGCATTTGAAGAAAGAATAAAAATGTAACTGATATATTCTATTAGCACACAGAGAAACAAAGCTATCTTTAGAGAAAAGAGAAAGAAGTAAATTTGGTGTCAACTTCTCCTCACAGACCCATCACAATAAAAGAACCATGTCCATGTATACTCTGAAGGTATAGATATGTGATGTGAGCTTGCTAAAGGAGAAGCTACCACTCATTCAAAGGGGAGTTATGAAAGGTGTTCTCATACCCACTGTTGGTTCAGGATGTGTGTCTGAAATTTTTATTAGAAAAATTCCATAAGGGGATTTTCCAAACAATGAGAAATGAATCAAAATAATGAACTACTGAAAGAATATTACATAAACCAAAGAGTAGAAAGAAATGAAACTTTGGAATTTTTATTGTGAGTATGCATTACCAAATATAGTAAAGGAATATTATGAATATAGTAAAATAATTTTTGGAAGGAGAAAGTAATAAAGTAAAAGTAAGTTATCAATGGTGATGTAGATTTCAAACATGAGATTATTGAAAACTTCAAAGGAGAGAGGAAGACAAAAATGATAGAGCTAATTCAATGTACTTTGAGGCATAAATATAGTTTCGTGATTGAGAAATGAATCAAAATAATGAACTACTGAAAGAATATTACATAAACCAAAGAGTAGAAAGAAATGAAACTTTGGAATTTCTAAAAAAAAGGGGAGTATGTGGGACTTACAACTTCCTACTGAGCACAGGAAGCATCCAATATATAACGCATTAATTTTTTAAATTCTTTTTTTACTAATAATTTTCACTGTTTTCCTCTACATGCACATATTGATTTTGACAGTATCATGACACATTCTATTGAAAAGACTACTCCACAATTTTTAACAAATACCCTATGTTTAACGTATTGGATATGCTGCTAAATTGTTTTCCAGATAGTTTGTATTATTGTATAGCACCATCAGCAATGAATGACAGTGACTGTCACCTCACATTCTAGCCAACATGCTGTTAAAATAAAAATATATCAGTATTGTCTCATTTTAGCTCAGATTATAAATATTTCACTGATATTGGAGATTTTTTCTGTTCTGAAATAAAATGGGTAATTTTACTTAAAATTGAGTTAGTGATATATTTATATGCCTTGTGTATTTTTCTCCACAAAATAACTT